CCGAGAAGGAAGGACTCGCGTGTATAATGTAAATCTAGTTAGATCAGATAGGGCTTAGAACAAAGATAACTGTTAACTAGATATAACCGGTATATTAAATGAGTAACGTTCAAATCCGTTGAAAAAAATAGATAAATCGATTAACTAATCCATTTTTGTGTTTCCTTTCTAAGTAATGCAAAGAATTCTCTGATGGATGTTAAAGAATTGATTAACTTCGACCGTAAAAAGAAAAAAGCATTTGCAAAACTACGTTTATTGCATACCAACAGGAATCTATACTAATATAATAAAGCGTAAACACAAATTTCTTTGTTGCCTAAGATTTCTATTTTCAATAAAAAGCCCTACACTTACGTCACGCTTTAGGCTATATATTTTTACGCCATTACTCAGAGGGTAAATATATTTGCATAAAAACCCTAATGTGGGAAAGATACCATAAGTTGCTGCGAACATCAAGAAAGCAAGGTTGCCATGGTTTGTCATCGTGTCATGTCATTTTGACATTTACAATTGATAGTTTGACACATGTAAACAATAAAATAAAATTTTCATAGCTTTTTGCGGATGAAGTCGCACGGGAACAGCTAGTCTATATTAAATGAACAGAGATGTAAAATTAGTCATGTCTAGGTTAACCACTGCATGCGCTGGTTCCATCTCTATCAACCATTACACATATAAAGACTCCTCAATCTTAACAGAATATCTTTAAAAAAGTGTGTATAAAAAAATAATTAATTCTTCATATCACATCTTGTGTTTGTACATCTACGACAACCGTTGGCTATATTCCAGCATGGACACTCTTGCTCGTATTTCACTCGGAACAAAATAGCCGCACAGATATAAAGCATAGTAATAATACGCGCTATAATTGGCCCTCGGCGTCCGATAGTCTGCTTATTCTGTTCGCAATTGCTAACAGAGTATCCTCGCGAATATATGATATGGATAATTATCGTAAAAGTACGATCGTGTTTCAACTTTTGATATAAGTGTCGTGGTTACAAATTACATGAATCCATCGTGATTTACGATCTCAGATATGAGAGCTACTGTATTTAAAACCACCTACAAATGAACACTGTTTTTGAACAACGAATACATCACCTTGTCCTTGTTGAGCAGGATTTTGTTTTATAAATCAATATATCTTTTGTCATAAGACAATGACAATGCTGAAAGGAAATAGAATTCAAATTTTACTTTACAACTATACAATTGTACTATTAATTTCAATTGAATATAGTACTAGCGGGGATAACAAATAATAAACGTCAAAAACCTTTAAAAAAATCTTTATTGGACCAAAACAATTAATCTCACACTCATCAATCACTCATAGCAAAGTAGAGATTGTAATCTAAATGCGGTTAGGGCCATCGAACCTATGTATCGATTGCCGTTAGTTTCTAGGGCAGACGGATACGCGGCGGCCCTTTATGTACCACCATTGTTAAACGACCTCAAGCATTAAATGTGCAGGTCAAATACATTTTAACTCGTAAACTTTCTTATTCAGGTCATCAATAAGATATGAACGAAATGAAAGACTTTCTTTATTTCATTTACCAAGTCACGATAGTTTCTAGTTAAACACTATGCCGCTAGATGTCGCTAAATGAGTAAGGGGAGCGACTGTCTACAATCGAAAAACATTAAATAGATCTAAAAATAACTTCAAATAATCATCTTAATAGTAGCTGCCTTCTACCCTTTAAACTCAGTCTATATGTTATGAATTACCTTGAGAGTTGAACAATTAGCATTATGTGACATAAGTAACGTAATTTATCTTATTATAGCTAAACGAAATGACCTAGCTCGTCTAAACGTCAACCAACCGATAATAAACTAAATACTTCCGCCAGCCACAACAGAAAAGGTAACTCGAATATTATAACATGCATGCAGTTTTTTAGGTAAATGAGAGTTGGGAATACCGAGGACATTCGCATTTCTAGACGATCTGCCTTATCGGTCTTTAAAATTTGGAATTTGTGAAGCCGAAACACCCTTTCTTCGTTCTTAGATTAATAATGAAAAAGGCACAAATTAAATAATCTTATAATTGTGAACGTATA